ACTTAGAAGAATGGTGTCCAGCTGCATCCAGGTTGTTACAAAAGACACTAGTCACCCTGATTTTTATAGCCGAGTAGTGCTCTGTGTTCCAGCCACCGTGGGCCTCTTGTGTATTGATGGGCACTGGGGTTGTTTCCACATTTTTGCAATTGTGAGTGCAGGTGTCTTTTTGATAAAGTGACTTTATTTCCTTTGGGTAAATACCTCGCAGTGGGATTTCTGGATCATATTATGTGGTGGGTCTGCTTTGAGTTCTTTGCGGAATCTCCATGCGACTTTGCACAGAGGTTGTGGCGTGTGCTGTCCCACCAGCAGTGTGCAAGCGCTACTTTCTCTCTGCTTCTCTCCCTGGGTCTATTGTCTGGGGACTTTTGGTAAAAGCCCTTCTCACTGCAGCTTTTCCCCGCCCTGGGCCAGGACCAGCCCTTCTGAGCTAGACAGGAGTCATTTAAGTGCTCTGCAAATGATCAGAGCCACTTACCAGCCCTCTCGCAGGCACACGGGGGAATAAAGAGCTGTTGTTTTTTGAAGTGGGCATTCTCCTCAATGATGTTGTCACTGGGATTACTGCAGATGCAGAAAGACCCCGAGTGCTTGCAGCACAGTTACCTCCTCGGTTTTGCGAAGCTCTGGGGCACCTGGTGCCCAGCTGGTGCAGGAAAGTGACATGGGCACAGCCACCTCCCCAGAGGCCTGAGGTGACTGGTGCCCCCAAGTTTGCCTTTCATTCAGTGTTCTGGAGGTCCACACATCACTGTGGCCAGTCCCAGCCCCACTGACCAGCTGAGTTGTCCTCATGTAGCCCCCAGTGCCTGGCAGCCGCTCCCCTACAAAGAGCCATCTTTCTGTCCCTGAGGGTGGCCACTAGGCCTGTCCCTCTCCACTGGGCTGGACTTCTTGCTCAGGGGTGGCCTTGCAGATGCCTGATGACCGACACCTCTCAGGCCATAGTGTGATAGGTGGAAGGGTCCGGAACTTGGGGGCTGGTGTTGAACAGGTTGACATGACTGTGCACTCCCGTGGGATGGAATCGTCCTATAGCAAGTGCTGGTGACCTGGGAGGACACTGGAGCCAGGGAGACTGGTTCTGAGCTTTGAGAAGGAGGCCCGGCTCTGGCCCACAGTGGCCCCAGGGACCTGTGGTGGCACAGTGAAGCAGTGACACCCAGGCTGGTGTCAGGATACTCTGGGGGACCCTCCTGGGCCTGGACTAGGTGCTTACCAGGCAGGTGGTGGGGCAGCTGAACTCTGCTTGGGCACCGGGCTCACGCCGCACAGCCTAGCCCACCCTGCCATCCCTGCATGGTGGGGCCTGCAGGACTCACATCTTCTCCTTTGAACTCACCACACAATGAAAGGGAACAGTGACAAACTATGTATTATTCAGAAATATCCCTGCACACTTCTGCTGGCCACGGATCAAGGCTTAAACCTGCCTGTCCCGCTAACTACAGGCTCGGGCTTGGGAAAGGTGCCCTCGGGCTTCATACCTCTACCAATGGCCTTTGAGGGCGCTGCTCGCCTGGCAGAGCCAGTGGCTGGCAGTGGACAGGGAGGGAGGGAGCCTCTGCAGGCCATGTGGCCTCTTTCTCTCCCTAGACCCCTAAATCCTGGCCATGGGTTTGCTTTGTAGACGTGGCTGTCTGGGGAGACGTGGGGGCAGCTGCTTTGGGGGGATGATTTCCTGCTGCTTGAGTGAGAGGGGGCAGAAGACTCCCCTGTGAGGCTGGAGGAGCCGCAGCCCTAACAAGGGGATGGAGGGGCCAGGGCTGGGGGAGGGGTTGAGGGAGGGGCTGAGGACCCAGCCTGGGAGCAGCGGGTGCCTCCACTTCTCTGGCTTGTATTACAAGACCAAAGGACGAGAATGTGCATGTGGACCCGTGTGCAGTGAGTCTCCAAGAGGGGTCTCGGCATGATGCTCACCTGGAACACAGACCTGGCTGGACCGGCGCCTCCAGCAGGTGCTTCCTGGGCCCTCGTGGTGGCTTTGGCTGGGACCCAGCATGCTCAGCTCACGTGCTGGCTGTGCCTGGACACTTTCTCCCACTGGCACCGCCCCCCCCCCAGCTTGTGTCATATTGTTAGGCCCCCCAAAGGAAAATTTAGGAGTGACACCTGTGTCCTGCACCTTGAGAGTGAGATCACTGCAGGACTCAGAGGAAGGACTCAGGTCTCTCAGAGCAGCAGCATCTGTTGCCCACCTGTGTTTCCAAAGTCATGGAAAGCTCTCGGTCTTGGCACACTGCATTCTGACCTTCCAAGGGGTGCCTGCCAGAAACACACCTGTTGGCGTGGAAGCCTGGGTGGCAGGGCCTGGAGGCCAGAGGGTGTCCTGGCTGGAGCTTGTGCCCGAGGAGGCTGATCTTTAAATCCCACACCTCTGGTTGCCCCAGGGACCTTGAAGAGTCCAGTGACTCCCAGCAGGCTCCCTGCTTTCCCTGGGGCACATGGGGCTGGTCCGTGCACCTCACTTTCTCAAAATGTTTTCCACACACTAATGAGCCCTCCTCCCACCCACCCTTGAAAGAAGAGCTCTCTGCTCTCAGCAGTGGGGAGACCTGAGTCTTTCCTGGAGGCTGTGGGCAATTGCTTAACCTCTGTGACCACTGGGAAGGAGGCTGGTGATGCAGGGACCTGCCTTAATCAGCAGGAACAACACTTTTCTCTCCCAGGCTGTTTGCTTGGCCCATAAATTAAATACGCCCTTAAAGGCCAATTCTCCTTTAGTGGGTGAAGGGTTGGGAGAAGTAGAATTCAAACACAAAAATAGTGTTTGTGTAAAGGAGCCCTTGGGTGAACGTGCACTTGGGCTGTGGCAGGACAGGAAACAACTGGCCCCTGCCTCTGCCATCTGAGGCCCCATGGATGGTGGTGGCAGGGGCGGTGTTGCTGGGAGCTCCACAGCCAGGGACTCAAGCAATGAGGCTGCGTGTTAATTACCCCTTCTAATTCACCTTCACTTGAAGTCAATGGGGAGGTTTACGGGGAGGGGGGATTCCTTTCAAACTAAACAACTTCAGATCTTTGGGGTGGAGGGAACAGCGGCTGTAGTTGTGTTGTTGTGTTTCTGAAAGGAGCCCACAGTCAATTAAAAAGGAACTGTTGGCCACTTAAAACATAATAATTACTTCTGCAAACGCTGCTAAATTAAATAAGTGTTATTCCCGTGACTTCTTTCCCCCAAGACTTTGGTTTCTTTCAAAAGAAAACATTTTGTTACTTCTTGTGCTGATCTGTTTGCAACTAGTGTGAGGAATCAGAAATCATTTTTCTTGTATTTAAAAGTTCCTGTGGCTGTGGCTCAAAGGAGTAGGGCACTGGCCCCATATACTGGAGGTGGTGAGTTCGAACCCAGCCCCAGCCAAAAAAACTGCAAAAAAAAAAAAAAAAATTCCTATCTCCCTGGATGCTTCTATTTCACCCATGATGTCAGGAGCCCCGAGAGACAAAGACCAATAGGACCACAGGACTGGTCACTTGCACCGGTTTTTAAACCAGCAGCAGAGGGGGACTTTGGCAGAAAGCTCCAGAGGGGAGTGGGAGGTGCCCAGGGGCTTGGGGTGTCCGGTGGGGCTCAGCCCTGGTGCTGCTACCACCTGCCCTTTGCCTGACCCTCCTCACTCTTTCCTGCCCTTTTTAATGTTATTGAGGTGAAACTCATTTATATAAAAAGGAAGCATTTTACTTTTTTTTTTTGCAGTTTTTGGCCAGGGTTGGATTTGAACCCACCACCTCTGGCATATGGGGCTGACACCCTACTCCTTGAGCCACAGGTGCCACCCAAAAGGAAGCATTTTAAAGTAAGCAATTCAGTGAGGTTTCGTATATCCACCCTGTCTGTAATCACCACTTCTGTCCAGTGCCAAGACATACTGTCACCACACATGGAGACCCTGTGGCATTAATGGCCACTGCCTGCTCCTCTGCTAGGCCCTGGCCACCTCCACTCTGTGCCCTATCTCCAGGGACACTTTATAGAAATGGAATTGGACAATGTGGCTTCTTTCGCTGGACACTAGGTATTCAGGGTTCATCTGTGCCGTCCCAAGTGTCAGAGCTTCGTTCTCTCTAAGGCAGAATAACCTGATTCTCTTGTACGGACCCAGCTCCCTTTGTTTCTTCACTGATTTGCTGGTGGATGTTGGGCTCTCTCTTTTGGTAATTTTGAACATCCACCTGTTGGCATCTCTGGCTGGTGCTCTGGGATGGAGGCCCAGGGGTGGAGTAGCTTTCCTTGGGGTCTGACCCCCTCCACGCCCTCCCTCCCCTCCTCTGTGCCTCAAGCTGCCCTCTGGTGTGGTTCTAGGCCACACCGTCTTGGCACCAACTTTCTCTTAGGACTGACCCCATAGGAAGACACATCTCAAATAAATGAGCTGGGGACCGTTTTCTTTGTTCAGTCTGCTGACCTGCAGTCCTGTGACTCCCATGGCCTCAGCAGGCCTGATGTGAACCCACCACAAGGTCATGAGGAACGTCCAGTAACCTTCCCTGAGACCAGGGCAGCCCCAGCAGAGTGTCTAGAGTGGCCCACCTTCGGGGGCAGTAGCTCTGGGAAAATTTCAGTGGCCCAAGTTCCCAGTGCTCCTAAGAACATGGACACCTATCTATTCCCTGATTCCAAGGCCACAGCTGAGGACCAAGTGGTTTCCCATGAGCCCTGGGTTGGCCCGTGAGGCACAGGCAGCTGCTGTTCTTGTTCTTCTAAAGCAGAAACCCTCCAAGTGTCCCCATGTGGCTGCAGGGCCCGAGGGCAGATGCAGGGAGGACTAGGCTGTGCTGCCTATCACAAATGTTGGTCCATCAAACTCCCTGCTAGCATCTCACTCATCCTCAGGAACCTTGGCTCAATATGGAGCAGAGGTGGGGATGGCAGCCAGAAGCCTTCGGGGCCTCTGCAACCCTCCGTTCCCATTAGGGCCCGATGACCAGGTGGTCCCCAAGCCTCACACACAGGTGGGGGGGTGCTGCAGAGGCTGATGCTGAGTTATCTCCTCCAGGTGACGGTGACGTTGTAAATAACATGTATGAGCCTGACCCGGATCTGCTGGCTGGCCACAGTGCCGAGGACGAGACTGAGGACAGTGTCATGTCGCCCGTCCCCACGAGCGAGGACTTCACCCCCAAGGAGGGCTCGCCCTATGAAGCCCCGGTGTACATTCCTGAAGACATTCCTGTCCCACCAGACTTCGAGCTACGAGAGTCCTCTGTCCCAGGGGCTGGCCTGGGCATCTGGGCCAGGAGGAAGCTGGAAGTTGGGGAGAGGTTCGGCCCCTTCCTGGCGGCACCCCGGGCCACTCTGAAGGATACTGACTTTGGATGGGAGGTAAGCACCTGCGTCTGAGTGTGGCTGATCCTAGCGCTTTGTCTGTGTTCAGTGTGTTTTTGCAGCCGCTGCCAGGCGGGGGCCTCTGTTGGGCAGCGTGTCTGAGTGCCCCTGCCTGTCCCCACCTGTGCTTATTGTGCCCCAGGGCTCACGTGCACAGCCCAGAAAGCGCCAGGGGCCTCGTGGTGGCCTGTCAGCCTGGAGGCAGGGTTTCTCTTCTCCCTAAAACATGACTTTCAGGAGTGCATGTCTTAAAATATCATGTGCTGCCCACTGGGGTGGAGGCGCTAATGCTCCTGGTGTGGCAGGGAGGATAACTGAATATCTGCAAGCAGGCAGCTTCACTCAGGGTGTCACTGCAGGCCAAGTCCTGTGCTGCCCCCAATGCCCTGTGCACACTGACACCCAGGCTTTTGCCCTCCTGCCCCGGTCAGCAAGCTGCTTGAGAGGAGCTCCAACTTCCCAGGACAAGGGGACACAAGCCCTGTGCTGCCAGGAAGGGATATCTTGTTGTTTACGTTTCCTTGGCTGGTGTGAGGGTTCTGGAGCTGTGCGTGCTGGACCTGCTTTGGGGACAGCAGAGGGGTCAGGCAGATGATCTGGGGCGCCCAGATGGGTCCTGCTCAGGCCATGAGGCACACTAGGCCCTGGTTTCGGAGGCTCTCACAGTGGTTTTGTGGGGACTAAGAGGCCCATGGGGGCACTCATCCTCACTGGCCCCAGCCTTTCTGCCAGGCCCAGCAAGCCAATTTTCAGTGATATTTTTGGCAGAATCCCTGCCTGGGTGGAAAATGGGATTGCAAACCCAGATTCCTTTTGGAGTTTCTCAACCTCCCAAAGTACTTAGATTGGGGTCAGTTCTAGGAAGGGCACAGTCCCAGGACAGAATAGGACCCTGAGTGGCCAAGCAGTTGGGTTCCCTAATGGCAGGAGCTGGGGGCAGTGGGGCAGGGGTCACGTCTTGTCCTGCCACCTCTTCTAGCCACTCTGTGGCTCTGGAAAAGCTCCTAGACTGTCTGTGCCTCTATTTCCTGTTCAGAGTGAGCCAGGGATTCAGGTCTGAGCTCCCCTTCCCTTGACATTGAACTTCACACAGAAATTGCCCGCTAGAGATGCAGGTGCACAGATGCCCTCTTTGGAACCTTGGGGGTCTCATGTGCCCCCCAGATCGCCTGGGGCCATCAGCACTTACAACTGATGCTATGGATTCCAAGGAAGCCTGGGTGGGCTAATACCTGGAGTGGGGCCCAAGCTGCCCACTTTCCTCAAAGCCTACAGGCAGGTGGTTTGAGACTCCATGGAGTTTTGTGTGGCTCTTGTCATGGACGTGGGGACGTAGAAGCCTTTACCTGACTGTCACCTCGAGGCCCTGGGCACAACAGTGAGCTGTGAGGCTCCAGATGCATCAGAGGACGGCCACAGTGGAGTCCATGGTCCTCCCAGGTGATGGAGTCATAGCTCAGGGAGCCAGTGCATCCCCTGTCACCTAGAGGACATGAGTCCCCGTGCGGGGGCCTCACCCTGGGTCACCTTCAGGAGAGGCCAGAGGGGGAGAGAGCTGGAATCACACCCACAATGGGCCTGTAACATGTTCCGTGGCCTGTAGGGTCTTCCTTTCTAGAGCTCAGAGACCATTTCTCAAGACACGTGGCTGTGACAATGGGCCTGGCCTGGCAGCGGCAGCCTGTCCTGCCCAGCTGCGCAGGACAGAAATTTCAGGGTGTTTGACGCACTCAGGAAGGTCTGACTGTTTAATTAGTAGGTGGCTTCTAGATGGTCAGAGGGCGAATGAGGCCTTCAGGGAGCGCTCTGGATGACCTTGGGGCGACTTTGTTCCTGTCCGCTCTGATACAAGTTTCTGTTTGCTTAAATTTATTCATTTATTTAAAGAAATCGCCCATATCACAGTGGCCCAGCTGGTGCCAGGTCCGGTTGGGCCGTGCCCTTACCGGTCGGTGCAGTGGAGTTTGCCACATTATTTATTCTCTGCATACGTGAGGGAACGCTCTCCCTCTGGGGTGCGCCGCCCATCTCTGCACAGAGCTTGGTTCTGCAGCGGTGACCTGCGGCTGCCTCTCACCCAGTGCTTGGGGATATCTGTGTCCTACGCACCTGCCTGGACCCAGCATCGTCCTGTCCGACCTTGTTTTCTTTGCAAGCTCAGGCACCACTTGCCTGGCTTTGTGACCTGTCTTTGGGCTTTCCTGCTTTCTGCCAGGGGGCTGAGGCATTTGTGTGTGTCGGGGGCATGAGAAAGCCAAGGCAGAGTCTAGTGGGCAGCCCCCACCCCCTCAGGAGTAAGAACAGGAAGGCTGACACTTAGGGCAAAGCCACTTGTGCCTGAAATAAGTAATGACGGTCAAAGCAGCTTCTCCCCAGCTGCAGCGACCTCACCTGGGGCTTTGGGGGCAGGAAAAGTGATGGGCTTGCCCTTAAGCAGCCTGCCTGGGGTTTCCACCGGTCCCCTGACTTGGTCAGCTGCTGTTTTCACTTTGTGCTTTGCCTTCCTGGGGCGTGAACTGCAGATAGGGCAGGAGAAGCAGGTGCTGCCCTCTGGGGACTTGTCCTGGCTTCTGCCCTGGCCGTGGGTCTTCTGATTGCTGTGGACAGGGACCTGCCATAGAGGGTCATCCAGACCCCAGGGCCGGGGCCTCTGCATGGCTCTGGAGGGGATGTTGGGGGCGTGCCTGTAGACCCCCAGGCACTTGTGCTACTTAGTCCAGAGTGGCTAAGAGGCGGTGTGACCAGCCCTAGTGCACAGTGCCATGCCATGGGGCCTGGGGAGCCTGGGACTGCCAGAGTAGGAGCCCAGCAACACAGACGTCCGGGCTTTATGCGTGCCATTGTTCACTCTCACACTGGCAGTTGAGTTTTATGAATCAGGGTGATGGACTTTACTGCAGTTTATACGATATTCAGTTACTGAAAAGGACAAGTGAAGATGATGGATGAAACCTGAGAAGGACCCGGCCTGGTGATGGTCTCCTTAGAGGTGGCTGGGAGGACGGTTTAAGGGCCTCCCTGAGCTCCTAAGGGAGGCTGCCCTTGGGGGTGGCCCGGGAGTTGGGACTGGCATCCACAGGGGGTTGGAGCAGCCCCCTCTCTTGCAGGCCCCTCTGAGGACCGGTTTGAAATAAAAGTCACATTGGTGGTTCTCAGTGTCATTTTGGGCCACTGTGGAAAGAGTCCTTTCTACTCTGGCAGCAGTGTTCCTATCTGGGACCATACAGCTGAAATGAATTAAGAAGGTCCTATTTCCTTATGTCTTTTCATGAGGAGAGACATGGTGCCCAGCAACATGTGCCTTGGATGACCCACTACCTGGGGGACTGAGGGGTCGAGGGGTTAGTCGTGCTGTCTGCAAGGTGGCTGCGGCTTCAGCAGCTGGGTCCTAGGCATCTTGGTTTCTGTGGGAACATTCTGTTGGCCAAGCAGGACCTCAGGTAGCTCGGCAGCTGTGGTTCTTCCTCCCCATCACTTGTTTCCTGCCCTCTGCCTCCTCCTTCTGATAAACAGGACCCCCCTTTTCCTGGGTGCTTTGGGGGCACACCAAGACAGTGCCCACCTCTGTGCTAGGAAATGCATCCTGAGTCAGATGCCTTTGGATTGGCTCTGGCTGCATCTGTGCGTGGAAATGTCCCCTGGGCTCCCGCTCAGGGGTGGGCAGGGCTCCGGGATGAGCTGCCTCCATCTGGACCCAGCTGGGTTTCTCCAGAAACATCACACGCACTCTCCCTGCTAACACCAAGGCCCACCCTGCCCAGAATAAATCACCCTGTGACTGCATTTTATTGCCCTGAAGTCTGCAAAAACAATGATTTTGATCATTTGTTGAGTAAATCATGACATTTATCATCATGCTGTTTATTTTGCTAATTAAGAGGTGACCACCAGTGACAGCCCAGAGGGAGGCAGGCTCTGGGAGGGGCTGGGGAAGCCACCTGCCCAGGGAAGTGAGTCTACCCGGTCACTGGGAGTGCTGGGGACAGTTTCTTGCTGAGTGAGCCACCAGCTGGACTGGGACTGCTTGTTGCCCGGGAAGTGCATCTCCCTAGAAAGGCTCCCGGCCATGCTGGTGCTCAGCCCGCGGTCGGCACTCAAACATTTTCTGCTGAATAAACATGGCTGCCTCTGTTTAAGAAGCTGGAGAAAAATGTTAATGTGAATTGATGGGGTTTCAATTATCTGAAGAATTTACTCAAGTGGACTATCTCGTCCCCTGGCGTTAGTTGCTGAATATTAACATACGTGTTCGTTTGTTCAGTCAATAAACAGGCCAAGTCTGGCTCAGGGCCTGTGGGAGGCTCTGGAGCTAAAGGGGAAAGGTCCCAGAGGCCTTGGGCTGCCCCAATTCTCCAGCTCAAGACTATGTGGAACCCAAACTGGCACCTGCAGGGCCGCTGGAGGCCCGTGGGGGTCTCAGCAGGCTCTAGGGCCAGCTGGTTACCCCCGTGGACCTGAGCTTCTCCAACAGCTGGGGAATAGAGTGAATTATCAGAAGCTTCTGACCTTGACGAAAGGTGTGGGCCTGCAGGGAAGGACCCCTCCTGTGCTTGTCTGCCTGTGTATTTTAGAAAATTAGTTCTCTGCCCCCAGCCAGGGAACATGAAGAGCCAGCCTCAAGTGGCGGGACAGGGAGGAAAGCTGGGCATAGCCCCATTGGGCATCTGGCTCTGGGGCAGAGGGGCACAGTGTGGGGACTCTAGCCTGACCTCCTGGCACCAAGGCCCTCTGTGGGCTGTAGAGGCATCGTGAAGCAGCATCAAGAACCAGCTTCTCCAAGGGCTGAGGAAACACTCCAGGATCCCCAGGGCTGAGACCTTGTTCAGTCTGATGGTAGGAGGGACAGAGGGCAGGTGTGGCCAGGCCTGTGGCGTGGGATGGAGGGATCACCGGGACCCTTCCTCTGAGTGGTGACCACAGCCTGGTGTGGCTGTGAGGCACATGCACACTCTAGGTCACCAGGTTGGGGGGTGGCTCTGGCCTCAAAGGGCATCCAT